ATACATTGCATTATTTACACAAACTGCAAGTGTTATCAGTTGATATTTTATATTATAGTTATTAAAAGTATAATATATTTAAGCGTTTTCTAGCTTTAATCATTATTAAATCAAATTGGTTATTTTTAACTTAGACTCTTTTGAAGAGTATATTTTCGTATATTTTCAAATCGGGGTAAAATTATAGATGTAAAATGTTATTTTCTACAAGAAACAGTAACAGTAAAGCGAAAGGAGTCATCATCAGCCTATTAATGTCCCTACTGCTAGGGCACAGGCCTTCCCTAAGGATGGTATAGGGAGATTCGGCCATGCGGCCACCCACCACGCGTGCCCAGTGCGGATTGGTGGGTGCTAACGACTGCAAATGCAGCCGGGATCAACTGCTTAAATTGCCTTCCGAAGCACGGAGGAGCTCGAGATAGTAAATTTTTGGTTACCCATCCAATGACCGACCACTGCGAAAGTTGCTTAACTTCAACGATCGCAGCCGAACGCGCTAGCCACCTGCGCCATCGAGCTCCTCGATCCGAAAGGGACCGAAAGGTGTATTCGAGGATTAATCTTAAACAGAAGCTTCTTTAATAATTTTGAATACAGTACTTGTGAAAAAATACATTTTTTCATGTATTTTTCCCCCGTACGATGTAATAGAGGAATAACTACATGCTTTTGTATATCAGAAAAAGCCATTGCATAGACATAATATTTATAAAACCATTGTAGGTTGGTACTGTGTTTTTTTATAGTTCAATAGGGCGAAACAAACCCATACACCGTAAAATTGATTTATCGACGTGACGAAATATTGTGTTGATCACAAAACATTTCAAGTACATACATAGGTAAATAGCCACCAACCAGTTTTATTGAATGTTATTTTTATTCATTTTACTAGCTTAAAACTGTACATGGATTTATTTGGTTTGTTTTTCAAAGGTTCTGGAACAGATTTGGATGAATAGATGGAAACTCGCTTGTTCAAACAGTTTTGGGTTCTTGCAAATACTCGAGAAAGTTGAAAAGCTGCTTCATATAAATCTGCGCATTTGCCGAATCGGTGACAGATAAAGTCGTAATATAGCTACTGACTTATCTCTCAGCTCAAGACTATAATTTCTACATTTTAGTGAGTATACTAAGTTGGAAAATGAATTGTAATTCTTGACATACTTTTTCGCTATCTAAGGCTCGTATTAGAGAATGACAGCTAAGTTTTGATCTTTACTTGACTACAGTTAGAAAGGGGATGTCGCTATGTGCTATACATAAGGTAATAGTATTAAGTTTGGTAGAGTTATGGAAGAGCGTGAGTTCCTGGCATAGGCAAATAAACTTGTCTACTAGGGGTACTCAAATATTGTATCACTAGCATAATATTTTTAATATAAATGAAGTAGGTATTTTTGTTTTGTTTTTTGATACATAGTGACATATATCTGTTATACATAGCGACGTCCCTTTCTAACTGTAATCAAGTAAATATCAACACTTATTATAATTCTTATTCTGTAATAAGCCTTAATCTTTCCTACTGGCAGAAACACCGGAAACTATTTTTAACCGACTTCAAAAAGGAGGAGATCATCAATTCCACTGTATGTTTTTTTATGTTTTTAGTTACGCGATTTCTCCGACAATTAGGACTGGCTTTAAATAATCTTTTTGCAATCGGAAGGCAAGGGTTTTACTCCCGAGGTAGGGTCTCATATATTTTAATATATACATGATTTTAATATATTTCAGGTAGGTATTTGTTATTATATATTTTATTTTTATCGTTTCATATTTCTACTATGTTTCAGAATGGTCTCGCAAAACCTAACTATAGGTAAACTGGTTGATCGCGTTACGAGTGCATTATAAGTTCTCTTATTCCCTAACAATAATTATCTAAATCAATTTTATTATTTTCATAATCACAATACAAATTGTGTAGATAGCGATTTTAACTGGAGTGTTTTTGTTTGATCTTCATACTAAATATATTATTCGTGGTAACTCTTCTTGTCTGAATCCAATTCAAACTTCTGTGGTTTCTTAAAAGTATCATATCCACACATGATCATAAGTATCGCGAAGCAAAACCCATTCACAATACGTGATGAAATCACATCTGATATATGTACTTTGAACAACAATACTATCCTATTAAACAAAGACTCGATAATATCCACAGTTAAAATTGCCTGCCGTTTCTTAGTCGTGACTTTTTACAATGTACGAGAGTATTATTTATGATATTTACATAAATACGTGTGTAACGACCAATATAGGTATCTTTAAACATTTTTTTTATAGTGAGGTAGGCAAATGACTCTACCCCATCTGATGTTAAGTGGTGATAAAGTCATAAATAGCTGGTCAGAATATAGCTGGTACAGCAGTTATAAACTGCTACACCAACCATCCTCATCTGCCGGCCTGCAAAAATGCTTTTTCACGCCTCTCTTAAAGGACCCCAGATTGTGGAGGAAGGAGGGAACACGTACGCGGGCAAAGAACACACATTTCATAAAACTCAACAGCAGTGCTATTCTGTAAGAACAAACTCATTTCACCTCAAAATCCGCAGTGTGATATAAAAATTAGAATACGAATTTAAAATTAATTTCAAATCACATCGGCGAATTCCGCAGTGGAAAGTGAGTTTGGACTTTATAAGTAGACAGATAGGACCTGCAAAAGGTAGTGACATTTCAGTGTCTTCTGTAAGGTAGAGTTTACAACGATAAGCCCTGCCAAACGAGAGGCATTTAAGCGAGGTACGCCACAACGGGTTTTCCGCTAGAGTTGGAGCGCCTGTTTGGGGAAGCAACCACCACCTTACAGTCTTACCTTTTGATGGTCTTGTATTTCTGCTAGTCAGTAGGGTTCCAAGTCCTGGTAGAGTAGTGTTCAAGTTTAAAGCAGATTGGGTTCTGGTCGGCACCGTGAGGATCCCAGAACTTATAATTACTATAAGGTCTGTGGTGAAAAGTGGTTGAAGGATGCGAAAGGCATTGCCCAGACACAAAGAAAGGATGGCTCGAGTGGTACACTTTCTGCCTCATAATCTATCTTCGCAACGGGACTCCCCTTATACTTAACGTCAGGGCTGGAAGGGTAGCGCCTCGTGGGGGATGCCTAGGTGCTTCCGGGCATCCCCCTGACCGCCAGGAGGAGGAGGAACCTGGCGGGGGGTAACGTGGAGAGTCACCAGGATCCCACGAAACCCGTTCCGGCAGGCGAGGAAGCACTGTTGGGTTTTTAGTGGGCAGGGCCCCACCCTCGTCCCGAGCAGCGGCTGAGCGTGTGAGCTAGATTTGGGGGGAGGAGGAGTCCCACATAACTCCGCCTCTCAACCAGGAGCGGGGTATGCGTCAAGCATTTTCCCAACAATTAAAAAAAAAGGGTAGCGCCTCATATAATAAAAAAAAAATATGTCTATTAAATATTGCGACTTCAGATTTCACAATCTAAATGATGACGCCAGTGACCGAGCATACCACCTCTGAGTTCTAGGTGTAATTCGTGACAAGTTGTTTATAAAAACTTGACTAATATAATATTTATGTTTCCAATTTTGTATTGAAACTTGTTGCTTATGACCATCTGTGGTTCATAGAGCAATACAGTCGGTTTTCCAACAAATTATTTTGTTGTTTCATACAAAACTTTTCCTTTATATCCTTTTACGAAAGAAAAAATAATGTGTGCACATCTGAAGTGAAACTTCTTATCCTAAATAAACTAACATTAAGCGGTGCATAAGGCTAAGGGGAATGGAGCAGCGCACGCTTCACTCAAATATATGTATATACATATATAGTGTCACGTGTGACGCTCGTGCCGCTCAGAGTGTTACAGCCTTAGCAGAATTACCTCCAACTTTCATGCTCGTCGGGAAGAGCTGCGCACGCATCCCAAACACACACACACACATATAGTCTTGTGACGCTCGTGACGCATTTCCGTTTCACCTTTTCCATAGGAATTTTCCATTATCACTCCGTCCGAAAACAGGTTTCACTTCAAAAATAAGTATCCATTACTTTTGCGTCGGCCGTGTTGCTCTATACTTTAATTTAATCTATCATCCCTTATTTAAATTCACAGACTTCGAATGACAGAATTCCAAAAAGTTTGTTGTGTAAAAATCAAAAGTGAAGTTTACAGATATCATGATAGGTACGAAATTGAAGATATACTTCTAGCTATTAGTAACGTAGTTGTGTGGTTTCACTTATTGATTTTATTATTTTTTACGCATTAGTGGTTTAGTGGTTTGCCTTAGTAGGGTAACAAAACAAGTATCTAGATATCATTATGTAATATTTCATTGTCGAAGTTCGTGATGTTTGTTTTATATTGAATCTTTAAGGGAACCAACGATTGAGATAGAGAGAGACATAAATAAGTTAACAACTTTAGCTAACGAACAAAGTCGCTATATGAATTTCCGAGTTATTATTTGTCAAAATAACGCTTACAAACTCCGAAATTATGAATACTGCCAAACGTGTTTCAGAATGACATAAGTCTTCTGCTAAACTTTCTCCCAATGGGTTAATCAGCTGTCTCAATATCAACTGTACGTTTTAAAAATATATTAATCAATATGAGTATATTACTCCTTATTTCGATAGGAATAAGGGTGGGCACAAGTTTGAACAGTGTATCGTACCTATACATAAGTTTAACACATGACTGTACTTGGCTTTACATTCACGTGTTTAATAACACAAAAGATACAACTGTACCGTTACTAATTTCACAGCCTGCGATTTTCTCTACCTATAACCTAACGCAAGTGGAATGATTGTTTGTTGCATAATAATGAAGTTTGAGATGAATAATATTACTAATACATAATCTCGTTATGTCTCCATCAATATTATCGCAATAAGGTCATTAAATTAAGTCGCACCGGTCGTGACTTGAAGCTGTAAATATCTCATTTTAAACGTGCATTTTCTTACAGTCCTGCAATTTACAACATGAAGTTCAAAATTACTTACGTTTTCTTACGGTCCTTGATCAGAATTTTCTTATTGGATAATTATTGCACATATTAACGTTTCCGAGGGAGCGCGGTTAACGCGATTCGCGCTCGATATGCTTGCGTGTGCGCGGCGATGAATCGGTCGAGCACTGGCCTGGTGTTGCGTGTTGCATACGTACGCACGGATACAGATACGTACGAGTACGACCTACACTCGGCGAATGAGTATTGCCAGCAATGCCAGCCGTGTTCGTTACCTGCCCTACCTTTACGCACTATTAAACACAACCGCTCTCTGTTAGTTTGCATGCCACACGTTACAGCTTAACGAACGATACACGGCCATTATTGCGTTTGATTACATCGGTAGCGATATTATAGCTGAATATCAAAACCGGAATATTTGTCACGTATCTTTGATGTTCGCATTGTTCGCGCACACTTTAATGTCTTATCTACAAATTTCGATTACGAATAATTAAGTAACTTATTAATGATATTTTTTTTATATTTAAGGCGTGGCAAATGAAACACTCAGCTTATTTCATATTAAGTGTAATTAATGATAGGTGGTTGCGACAAAAAAATTGCCGCTATTTCTCTTTCTACTTTACCGGTCTAAGCCCAATTCCCAGCCTAATCCAAATGGAGTTTTGGAACTTTACAGACTGATAGAAATACAATACCATCAAGTAAATAACTACGCGTTGGTGGCGACAAACTTCTTGAGCGCAGACAAATAAACCTGCGCTTGCGCAGTAGACGTTTGGTATGTAAAATTTATCCCGGGCAGGTTTCCTTGTCTATCATCGAATCTCAAGAAGTTCACCGGGGTGCATACTAGTTATTTACTTGTTACATGAGATTTCAAAGTTACTTTCTTAGAAAGAAGACACTCAAATCTTGTTGTTGAACATATTGTAAATTTATGACGTACCTACTGGCAACACTGGCGATTTTGCACACACATGCGGCCACATACTCACAACTAGTCGTCCATGTCATGAAGTCCGTGAACAACTTTCGCGCCAGCTACAAATGCAAGTATTTACTGACGTCATTCCAATCAAAGCGAACGAGGACGTAAAAGGTCAAGAATACTCAGTCTCTCTGATGCACAGCTGCCTTACTGCATTTCTGACTCAATACCTATTTATAACAAATTAATCTAATCTATATCTCGAGATGGATGTATTCCCATTTTGGCGTTTTTAAACATAAGAGAAGATAACATAAGAAAAATGAGACCCAATTATACAATAACTAGCGGCCCGCCCTCGCTTCGCTTCGGTGTAGAGCTGAAGTGTAGACTACAGTTTTTGTTCTCAGGCTTGTATTATGACACAATGACATTCATATTATATGATTCTTCTTATACCTGCTTGCAAAGTCTCAGCCCGATCGGTTTAATATTGACAAAGTTTCATACAAACTTTCATTCCCTATTTTATCCCCTTGGGGGTAGAATTGATCAAAATCCTTTCTCAGCGGATGCCTACGTCATAACATCTACCTGCATGCCAAATTTCAGCCCGATCCGTCCAGTGGTTTGGGCTGTGCGTTGATAGATCACTATGTCAGTAAGGTTACCTTTGGGTTTTATATATGTACTAGCTGACCCAGTGAACTTCGTACCGCCCCAAAAATATATGGGGTTGTTCAGCGGACAAAATCGTGAATCTAAACCATTCTCAGATCCCCTTGAACACACACAAAAAATTTCATCAAAATCGGTCCAGTCGTTTAAGAGAAGTTCAGTGACATACACACTCACAGAAGAATTATATATATAAAGATATAGATGGTAAAAAAGTTTGCTAGGACTCGTCGTGGTTCATTGAAAAGAAAACTTTCTTCGAGATCAAGAGGTTGTGTTGTGACGGTAACATCTTACATTTTTTCCCCTAACCGCCTTACCGTGCGAAGAGGAATTTCGTTCCAAAAGACCTTAAAAAACCTCGTAAAGTTTTTGTTTTGGTTGTAGGCTTCTATTAGTATTTTGATTATTATTGTGAGATATTCTAATAGATTGTTTATCCTCAACTGTTTGAAAACCTCGGCGTTCGATTATACATATAAAACTTTTTTTTATGACTCGAATATAGTAATCAAAAGGTTTACCAATATGGTAATTATAAACCAGAATAACTTGATACATATGACCGTGACTATGACACCAGAACACTGATGGTACAATTATTATGAATATTATGCAAAAAATAAGTTTGGCAAATCTTCAAAGAGTGACACATAGTATTCATTAGAAATATATTAGTTTTCGTGATTTTCCGGGAGATCTTCCATTTTAGTAAATATCTCAGCTCATAGAATTTTGGGATGAGGGTCCTAAAGGTTAAGACTAGATATTAAAATAGGTGAAGAGTTTTTCTCAAAGATGCTTTGAGCATTATTTTGACAACCTTCTTCGAGATAAATCGAAATTGGTGTACTAGCCACATTATATGCGAGCAGCGGCAGCCAAAGTTGTATGAAAATTCATATCTGTGATGTTATTTAAAAATGGAACGAACTTTTACTCCGAAACATGGCAACAAAGGAGGTAATTTGTAATTGAAATAAAAAAAAATACAAATAATTGAGTGTTGTTGCTAGTTTTCTTAAAAAAAGATAAAGAAATTTCACATTGTTATATATTTTATTTTGTGATTGTTTCTGGAACATCGGTTCAGTATTCAAACATTTACATTATTAAAAAATCATTAATATCTCATCTGGCTATTTTATAGCTTGGTGATAACAATATTGTTGGAAATCATATAACCTAATTGAAAGCTTTTATATTAGTCAGTCAGGTCAATCACTTCAATTTACGAATGCGCTTAAGCGCAGTATGGCGGGTTATCGGACTAGATTTTTTTTTGAGTGTGTAAACTGTTGGTCGCAGATGACCTTTACAGCGTCACCGGGCTCGGGAACAGCAAGATCCTAAGGGGACCCCTTTGAATTGAAATGAATGAAATGAAAAGAATTGGCGAGTGCCTCTAGAGGTATTCCAGGCGGACGGCATCTCCCCATGAGAGGGAGTCCCCCCTCCATCTGGAGCCTCTAGACCACTCGAATCTGATCGGGTCGACTCAAATAGAGGGCGTCTCTGAGACTCGGACCTCGGCTCTAGTTAGCCGTTGTCGTGGGGCCGGATTAGAGGAGTAGACACCACAAGGTCCTACAAGATTATAAACAGTTGACTCTATTAGCTTCTACTAATCAGCTCTGCGGCTGCATTGCAGGTCATGTTCCATCATTAATAATAATCATAATAATAATAATTTATTTGCCAAAATAGAGTTACAATAGCTGTTAGATGCTTCTTTAGTTTCCAGGATATTTTGTTATTTTATTATCATTGAGCTGCTAATGAATCAATCATGACTTGTTGGGCGGAGTCTTTCCCGGCCCGGTGTATAATATACAATGTTATTTTATGATACTGTGCCACGTTGAAAAATAATCAGATGAAGTGATTTTTATAAAGAGTCGCCTTCATTTTTCCTCTCTTCTGGGGCACAGACCTTCCCTATGGATGGAATAGGGAGATAGAGTAAGTTACTTATCCAAATTGTTTTCTTATTTTTCTTTAATTCTAATGTTTTTTTATTGTTTCGTTTTAATTGTGTATACCTATTAAATTAACTTTTTTTTTCATTATTATATTAAAATTTCTGTCTTGTATTAGTCCGTTGATGTCTGAATTAGATCTCTGGAAAATATCAGAGTTTTTTTTTGTTTATGCGCAATGCGTTTGACCATGATCTCACCTGATGGCAAGCGATGATGAGGCCTAAGATGGTACACGCCTGCCTAGAAGATGCCTGTTCACTCTGGCCTTGAAGATGTCCAGATTATATTGGTCCGGGAAAACAGACCTCGGCAAGGAGTTCCACTCCCTAGCCGTTCGCATAATGAAGGCCGAAGCAAATCGCTTCGTGCGAATTGGAGGAACTTCGACAACATAAGGGTGGAAGCCCTCGCCGCGCCTGGTCGTCCGGTGGTGGAAAGGGGAAGGGGGGATCAAATAATGTAATACCTCCGCACACTCTCCGAAATGTAACCGATAAAACACCGAGAAGCAAGCTACACGTCTTCGGTGGTCAAGGCTCTGTAGATAAGCCTCAACGAGAGCGTCATTGCCTATGAGTCTCTTCGCACGGTGTTCCACCGAGTCCAGTGCATCCAGCTAATACTGAGCAAATCAGCGTTTCAGCGGGAATCCTTTTGCCGTTGCAACATTGTGCTGCGGTGACTGGGGCTAGATGAATATGTACTTTTGTTTCATGTTTATTGTGTGAACCTTATTGTAACTGTGTTAGTTAATGGTTGTCGTCAATAAAATGTCTTTCTTCTTATTTTCAATCAAAGGAGAGTCAATTCATTTACCTACTTTACAGAAAAGTCTTCAGCCAAATGTTACTAGTGGTGGCAAATTTGGGAAAACAGAAAATTCACCGTAAAGAAAATGCTAGAAAAAAATCCTATTGGCCCAGACTTCAGACGGTTTGCAGTTGTTGACAGTTGTTTGACAGATGCAGCAATGCATCTTTCGATATCCGGGTCGGTTCGAGTCGTATCTGAAACCTGGTCCCTGTAGATTTTTTTCTAGTATTTACTTTAGATTTAAACATCCAACAGTGAAATGCTTAAAATGAAATTTTAATAGTCTTTATTTAAAAGATTGTACTACATAACACATTTGAACCCAATTTTTTGTTGTTGTTTGGAGTAAATTCTAAGTGGTATACCATCACCATAGGTATTTCTGCTCCTTCCTCCTACATGTAACACATACGAATGTGTCTATAACTAGACTCCCTTTGCCTTCTATAAATATTAAAGTTAACATGTGGCACGGAAATGCATACCTACTATAAATAGTTGATATGTCCTTCTGAACCAATATAGCAATTACGGACTTTTCGTTGTTAAAAATAGAATGACGTCATCCAATTTGTAAGGGCGCTTAGAATGTGTTTCGTTGCTCTGCTAAGAAGCAAACTATTTACCGGTTTTTTTAATTTTCTCTGTTGTTTTAACTCTAATAAAAAATATGGTTTATTCCTTTGAAATTTGGCCAAATGATGTGTCAGCAAGAGTTTGTGTGCAGTAAATTGTGATGGTTTACAGTTGATCAACCCGTTTGTCTATACATATTAAATACTAATATTATAAATGCGAAATTATGTCTGTCTGTCTGTTACCTCTTTCTACTTAAAGCGCTATAGCAATGCAGATATAGAAATCAGAAATCAATATATCTTTATTCAAATTGGATGTATAGTAACTCTTTTGAATCGTCCAAAATTTTTTTCCCTACCACTCGTATGTTTTTTAGCTGCGGAGAAAAACGAGCGAAAAACTCCACAACACTAAAAGTCTAATGTAACAACATGTACAAACCATAATGTTGTTACAACGTCAATACAATTAATACAATTATGATTTATTTAATATAGAAAACCTGTTGGAATGATTGGAACAGTTCAAACCCAAGCATTTTTGTCTGTAATATAATCAGACACTTTGTAATAAGCTTATTTAATGAGTGCTTTTTTTATACTATCTTTAAATTTATTTATGGTTAACTCTTGGATATTGCTTGGGACTTTATTGTATAAGCGAACACAAAGACCTTTAAATGAATTATTAATTTTGTGAAGCCTAGTAGCAGGAAAAG